TTCCATACAGGAAAAACTTAAGGCCACTTGCATTAAGCGCATCCTGTTTACAAAACATGATATTGTCGGTCTATACTGCATACGTTGTTGGAACGAGTAAATAAAAGCTTATAGTCTCTGCCACTACGAAGAAGTACTGATGTAGTAATTCTCTTAATCACGTTATAAGTAATATCTCTTATGACATTTGTTACGTCTTGCTATATCAATAAAAAGGCGGTTATTAGGGGTAATGTTTACATATTCCTATTAATCTACTGGTGGAACATAAGAGTCACAAGCGATCTCTCAGTCCATTTTATGGTATTATGTAATTTTTAATTCAAGGATAACGACACCATTTCATAATAAAAAGGCTACAGGTTGCTGAACTCGAGGTAGGTAGGGGTATCAGGGGCCTCAAGCCGTAACATTTACGAAACAGCGACTTCAATAGATACGGCCGCAAAAATCTGTTTTTTTTTTTAAATCCTTAATAGGGTGATAATATTATCTCTTCTCATTTGAAGGACTAAAGTTATCTGACAACTACTAGGGACGTAAACATAGTAGTTAACGTTCATGGAACAATTCTTTTTTTTCATCGATTTTAACTAATATATTTATTATTTTAAGGAAAATAATAATCAAAATTATCACCTACTTTTCATTCTTGTTTGAATTTTATCGATTCAGCTTTTTTTCATCCACCTTGTTTGGCGTTTTAACAGTGCACTTTACTGTAATGCTTTATGAGAGATTTCTATCTTTAATTATTTATTTGATACTAATAAATCATGATTTAATTGAAATTATTAACAACATACTTGTGAAATTATTTATGAAAATTACCATAAGCAATATTGTGTCTTACGAGTATCGGTTAGTCAAGAAGAATTTTTTTAAAGTATTTTTGTTTTATGATAATTCCAAATGGACGCCAAAGCAAAGTCTATTTACTAATTATTTTACCAGTTGCAAATTATAAACGAAAGAAAATTAACGGGTTCCGGCTACTAAACTTAATGCGGGTAATAATCTTTCAGCTCATAATATAGTCTGTTATGCCGAAGTAATGTTCACTTTGTCAATAGTTTATTTTAATTTTGTTTTCTATTCTTAATCTTGTTTTTGTATTTTAGTGCATGATTTTTTAATTATTCATTTTATTTCAGAATTGACGTGTCCCGACACACTCTTATGAACCAAATTTCATATGGATAGCACGAGGTCCGACATAAACATGGATATATATATATATATATATATATATATATATATATATATATATATATATATATATATATATATATATATATATATACAATTATCAAAATTTATTCAGCCGTTTGGAAGATACAAGGTTAAAAAGAAATTTACAAACATACATACAAGATACACGCGAAAAATAGTTTCCTGGTTTTTGGCAGCCGTGTTAAAATGTAAGTGCATTATTCAAAGAATTATTTTGATTAAACTACGAATGGGTTGCAAATGTAATACAGAACGGTGCAAAATAATTTAAATCTAACCAGTAATAAAGATAGACATACTATGCTCTAAAAATATTTAGCTGTCACTATGTACCAAACGAGCACTTTACTGCCTACTTTATAGCTTTCTCGACCATTAACCTGTGTTACGTCTGGCTGTCACCAGTGTCTTCTCTGAATTTTAACGCTATTGCCGTGGAACGGAACACCTCTTAGGATGTTACTATACGACATGGTAGGATGTTTTTTATTTGCATGTTTTTGACTAATTTATAGATACGTGTTCTTTTCGTGTTTATTCTTTTTGGCATATTTTTTAACTGTGGAAATTCTCGTTTTTTGTTTAGATTACCATCGTCAGTAGAACACCAAATCTCTTTTGTGCTTTTTAAGGCATTCCATCTGATTCCTTAGATGTAAATATTACAACTTCAAGCCTTAATTATTTGAGTTGTAGAAGTTCGCGAACTGCAATAGCTTTTGCTGTTAAGATCAAATACAATTCAATATGACGAGCTCATGACCTTTTTACTTCATCATTATTAGTCCAAAAACGGTCCAACAATTATCTTTACTAGGTAAAGAAAAACCATTAACCGTAAAAATATAGATAATTATTTATCAAAAGCATATAAACTAATATTATTATATAATACATAATAATATTAGTTTATATGCTTTTGATAAATAAATAATAAATAATTAATAATGGTTTGGTCACGTAGAAAGAATGAATGAGGAAAGAGTGACAAAGCAAATTTATATGGCAGATGTGAACGGCCGAGTCGGGGAAGGGATGCCCTAGAAAAAAGTTTGTCGACCAAATTGGCGATATTTTGAAAATGGGCCACGTTAAGAAGTACCCCTTAACCGACGAGCATGTATGCGTAGATATATGGATGTAAAGGAGGCGAAAGAGGTATGTCAGGATCGTTCCAAATGGAAGTCCGTAATCTCTGCCTACCCCTCTGGGTGACAGGCGTGAGTGTTTATAAACTAATATTGTCGGTATAAATATACAAAAATAAAAAAATATTGCATATCATAATAATGCTTTCATCAGGTTGTGATATTGTTGCATCTAAATTTTCGAGAATACTTAATGCAATTCGAGAAAATTAAAAAATACCAACACAGACGTTAAGGAGTTCGCAATAAGGACCAGCACGCAAATTGTGTTACGTCAGATCTTTTGTAGACGACGAATCCTCATAAATTATTGTTTAGTTAAATGCACATAGAAAAAAACGCTTTCCATTTTTTCGTGTAATTCACCCACAGCTCGGCTCTGTCATAAACCTCTAAACTAGTTTCCTATACACTATATCGTAGTCTGAGCTGAGCGTTTTATGATTAAATTTTTTTATGTACTAATTTAATGTAGTTCCGTGTGGTGTTGCGTCCATGCTGTAACTATAGTACAAATGCAGGGTGACTTTACGGATAAAGTGTTAAGTGAAATTAAAGAAGCGTGATAAATAAAACACAAATATTTCTTTTAATTAAAATTGTGGATTTAATCGAATAAAATACTGTCATTTATATCAATTTCCATCTATTACTGTCTCTTTAGTAAATCAGTTTAATGTTACTACATTTTACGATATATCTATCAACATTCCCCGAAAATCTACTTTCTATGTTCATACCGGCAATAACGAGCGAAATTTTTGAAACACTACACACTGTCCGTAGCTGGTCGAAACGTTTTAAAAATAACACTTTTGTCAGAACTTACACACATAGTCTTAGTTAACAGGTAAAATACGAAATTAAGCAGAATTGATAGAGAATTTAGATAAAATTTATAAATTTAGACTATGCTTACCGTTACATATTCGCTTGCTCATATTTGCCATAGTTGCCACGCTCTGCAGGCGGTTCAGTAACCTCAGTGTTTTATAATTTTAAATTGTTATCAGGAAGACGCTGTGTCAGTTTACTCTGTTTACGACACCCACCCCATGAAGTGGTGGTTTAGGTGGTATTTCTTACACCGCCACTCATGTTCAAGTCTACGCTTTGCACATTACATATAGCATTAAGATTAAAAAAAACCACCCAAAAATAATTTTATTAAAAATTTATTGAAGTAAAGTTATACTATTTTTTCAAGTAAAATGTTATTATACAAACGAAAATGTATTCATCTTAGAATCTAAGCTAGTTTTAAGGTTGCTGAACTCGAAAACGCTATAAATTAGAATAAGATAGTGGGGGATGAAGACATTAGCGCAAGCTGTGCAACCTTGTGCCGGTTGTATGCTAATGAAGGTTTCAGTGCCAATTTTATGAAAACTTTAAAACTATTATGTTTTTCTAAACTAAGTTAAATAAATATAACCTAAATAAAAATATTTTAATATAGAATCTGTTATATATTCAGCAGAGGTGACGACGTAAGAAAATTTACTATCTCAACGAGGTTTTTATTCATTGTAATCCACTAGCGGGCATAGGCTACCACATATAATGCCATAGAAAGACGTAGTTACTAATAGAAAAGACGATACTGCACACGCTGCTGGTTTGTTTCCCTCTATTGCTTGTTGTGACACCCATGATATGGATGTGGGACGATATGGGTTTGTGGAAGTTTTTTAAATCTTATTACACTCCTTATGGTTACTTATGCCAGTATGATCATATGATTCGCAACAAATGACGATAAATCGGTAGAAATATTATACAATTTGTATATGCTAATTTTTCTAAATTTAAACCAGTTACGAAGAATAGCATCAAAGTTTGGTATAGCTAAAAACGTTGTTATTACGGCAAACCCGAACTTGCATAATAAAAGACCATGCACAAAGAAAAATAACCCGCAATGTCCACTGGTGATCTTATATCAATTCAATGAAATACAAGCAACCACTTTCTTAAAATAAGCATACAATTCCTTGAATTATGAGCAATCAGTATAACTGATAATAGTACATATCACGTCCATTTTAAGTGAGGCCATGTTGTGCACGCGTCAACGAACTTATTTAGGTTGCAGTCACCTACACTGTCAACGAAACCTTGCCTATTTCTTTGTAAACGTTCTAGTTATTATTTGTGCGAAACATGATAATTTTACGTAGACATTATAAATAGGTTTTATTTACGAACTTACGTATCAATATTCTTACATAACCAATCTACTCATATCGTACTGTGAGAATTACCAGGGAGATATAATGAGTATTGACCTCCGATAATAATCATATTTGTGTATCTTTTTTGATTTTTTGTATTAACCAAAATTAAAATAGCCTGACCCGTGATGGAGATCTAGAGATCATCTTACGTACTACAATTTTAAATCATAAATAACAAAAAAATATTTTTAATATAATACTATACAATTATTCCTGATAATGAAAGTATCTACATAAGTAAACATTTATCAAACTCCAAGAAAATATGATTTTCATTATAATTATAAGCTACGTGCTTAAATAGATCGCTGTGAAGTTCATCTGTACTTAATTTCTGTAGTATTTTTGTTACTATCGTTGTTAGCAGATACAAAATTTTGTATCATAGGATGAAAAAAGATAATTCAATTATAGTAATATCCCTCTTTATTTTTGATACTTCTTTTGTTTTTGCTTCATTACTAAAAGTAGTAATATTATCAATTTTCATATCTTGTTGAAAATTAGCTGGATACGGAATATTTTTTCTTAAATTATTACCCGCAATTCGATTGATGATATCGATCGAGTTATTGTTCTGCTTTTCTATTTTATTTGACATTTTGGTAATTATTTCTAAAAATTCTCTTTGGCTACTTTGTGTGATATTTGTATCATTACCATTTCCATTTAGATCAAGGGTTTTTCTATCGATTTTTTTATAAAGGAAATTAGGAATAGTTTCATTATAATATATTTTTTCTGTATTGTTCGAATTTTCTAACGACTCATTTCTTACTGGGTATAAAAAGAGTGACGAATTTTCATCAACTGAATTATTTAAAGTATTATTTGTCTCCAAATTTACCAGATTAGTCAACCCTTCAAAACTACTTTCTATTAAATTTTCAATCATGGCTTCAACCGAGTAATTTGAACTATCAATTTTAGTCTCCGTTTGATATACGTAAAGTGATTCAACATTAATACCGTCTTCGCTACTTGATGTCGTTAAGTCCCTTTTTAAATATTTTGGTGGTATGCCTTTTTCGGGTTCATTTTCAGTGAACATATAAAATTTCTTTGCCTTAGAGTCTACTACTTTTGATAGCGGAATACTTTCAAGTAACTGCCTACTCTGTAACCAATGTTTACCTTTCGGCCATCTTTGGCTTGACATATCGTTATTTTCACTTTTCGCTTTATCAGACTTCATAGTCTTTACATGTTCTCTTAAATTATATCTCATCTCTACTTTAGGTAATCTTTTTATATTTTAATACCATTTTATACCGGTCTTTAAAGGGGTTAGGTTCAAAATCCTGTACGCTGAATTTTTCAGATTTTTCAGATACTGTAATAATACAATGAACTTAATCACAAATTTTAACATGATACAAAATTAATGGGATGGCAATACGACACGATCGATAAACAGTTTTACGTAATTTCCAAGGCAAGAAAATAAAAACTATCAAATTCCTGACTTCGAGCTGCTACAGAGAATCGATTGACATAAAAATCAATACGTGATTATTGTCCCTACAAACGATTCGAACCCGTAACTATATATATATATATACGTATAATCATCAATTGCGCTTACAACTCCAACACCAAAGAGATATATTCTATCGAATTTCGCCAGATTGCATTGGAACTTTATGGCTATTTCTTGCACCATATCAATCCTGAATTCTCCACAAAAAAGAAAAAAGAAATCCTGTACCGTGTATAGTTTAATTTAATTTGTCGTAAAACATAATAACTCCTTACCTTTTTTTCCCGCGATATTTCCTTCAACAATATCTGTTATATAATTTTTATTTTGCATTTTATCTTTCTCAAAAAGGAAGATAATCGGCTTCGTGGTATCGTTATAAACTGTTTTGGATAGTGATGATATGATTTGACTATTTGGGTATTTTTTTTCGGTTATCATCTATTTTAATACAACCATTTGGATAGCAATAAGTTGATTGATTTGGACACATTTGGACACAAACACATACAGGCGGTGTGTTGTGAAATTCTGCAAAGATGACATTAAAGAAGTGTTCCACTAGTGATGTGTCATTTTTGTTATCACACGAGCTTAGTCTATTTGATTTCCGATTTAAAGACAAGTATTGGCTGAAGGTATCTGAAACTAAAATTTGCGTATACATTTTTATGTCTTTTGAAATATTTATTGCCTTTAGGAAAATATTTAGACAACACTTACCTTTAATATTAGACAACAGGAGTAACGCACATACTACATAATGCTTTTTCATTTTTGTGAAGCTATTTACAACAAATAATAAATTCTTTGTTATCACAAAACGTATTTGTAAAAAGTAATTCGAAAATTTGAACAATATTTATATTTGTTACATAGCTCAAAAAATATTGGATATTAAATTTTTTCGTCACCACTTCCCTCGTTCTATTTTACATTTTTTGTTCGAAGACAACTCGTCCGTATAGACTGCCACATTTCTAATAACTGTGATTTATTCCATACGGGAAAAACTTAAGGCCACTTGCATTAAGCGCATCCTGTTTACAAAACATGATATTGTCTGTCTATACAGCATACGTTGTTGGAACGAGTAAATAAAAGCTTGTAGTCTCTGCCACTACGAAGAAGTACTGATGTAGTAAGTCTCTTAATCACGTTATAAGTAATATTTCTTATGACATTTGTTACGTCTTGCTATATCTTTAGGGGGTCATGTTTACATATTCCTATTAATCTACTGGTGGAACATAAGAGTCACAAGCGATCTCTCAGTCCATTTTATGGTATTATGTAATTTTTAATTCAAGGATAACGACACCATTTCATAATAAAAAGGCTACAGGTTGCTGAACTCGAGGTAGGTAGGGATATCAGGGGCCTCAATCCGTAACATTTACTAAACAGCGACTTTAATAGATACGGCCGCAAAAATCTGTTTTTTTTTTTAATCCTTAATAGGGTGATAATATTATCTCTTCGCATTTGAAGGACTAAAGTTATCTGACAACTACTAGAGACGTAAACATAGTAGTTAACGTTCATGGAACAATTCTTTTTTTTCATCGACTTTAACTAATATATTTATTATTTTAAGGAAAATAATAATCAAAATTATCACCTACTTTTCATTCTTGTTTGAATTTTATCGATTCAGCTTTTTTCGTCCACCTTGTTTGGCGTTTTAACAGTGCACTTTACTGTAATGCATTATGAGAGATTTCTATCTTTAATTATTTATTTGATACTAATAAATCATGATTTAATTGAAACTCTTACAACATACTTGAGAAGTTATTTATGAAAATTACCATAAGCAATATTGTGTCTTACGAGTATCGGTTTGTGAAGAAGAATTTTTTTAAAGAATTTTTTTTATGATAATTCCAAATGGACGCCAAAGCAAAGTCTATTTACTAATTATTTTACCAATTGCAAATTAAAAACGAAAGAAAATTAACGGGTTCCGGCTACTAAACTTAATGCGGGTAATAATCTTTCAGCTCATAATATAGTCTGTTATGCCGAAGTAATGTTCACTTTGTCAATAGTTTATTTTAATTTTGTTTTCTATTCTTAATCTTGTTTTTGTCTTTTTAGTGCATGATTTTTTTTAATTATTTATTTTATTTCAGACTTATCGTGTCCCGACACACTCTTATGAACCAAATTTCATATGGATAGCACGAGGTCCGACACAAACATGGACATTTATATATATATATATATATATATATATATATATATATATATATATATATATATATATATATATATATATCCATGTTTTTGATCCAAGTTGATAATTGTATATATATATACACACACACACACAATATATATATATATATATATATATATATATATATATATATATATATATATATACAATTATCAAAATTTATTCAGCCGTTTGGAAGATACAAGGTTAAAAAGAAATTTACAAACATACATACAAGATACACGCGAAAAATAGTTCCTTGTTTTTGGCAGCCGTGTAAAAATGTAAGTGCATTATTCAAAGAATTATTTTGATTAAACTACGAATGGGTTGCAAATGTAATACAGAACGGTGCAAAATAATTTAAATCTAACCAGTAATAAAGATAGACATACTATGCTCTAAAAATATTTAGCTGTCACTATGTACCAAACGAGCACTTTACTGCCTACTTTATAGCTTTCTCGACCATTAACCTGTGTTACGTCTGGCTGTCACCAGTGTCTTCTCTGAATTTTAACGCTATTGCCGTGGAACGGAACACCTCTTAGGATGTTACTAGACGACATGGTAGGATGTTTTTATTTGCATGTTTTTGACTAATTTATAGATACGTGTTCTTTTCGTGTTTATTCTTTTTGGCATATTTTTTAACTGTGGAAATTCTCTTTTTTTGTTTAGATTACCATCGTCAGTAGAACACTAAATCTATATAGTGGTGTTAAGGCATTCCACCTGATTCCTTAGATGTAAATATTACAAATATAGCCTTAATTATTTGAGTTGTAGAAGTTCGCGAACTGCAATAGCTTTTGCTGTTAAGATCAAATACAATTCAATATGACGAGCTCATGACCTTTTTACTTCATCATTATTAGCCCAAAAACGGTCCAACAATTATCTTTACTAGGTAAAGAAAAACCATTAACCGTAAAAATATAGATAATTATTTATCAAAAGCATATAAACTAATATTATTATATAATACATAATAATATTAGTTTATATGATTTTGATAAATAAATAATAAATAATTAATAATGGTTTGGTCACGTAGAAAGAATGAATGATGAAAGAGTGACAAAGCAAATTTATATGGCAGATGTGAACGGCCGAGTCGGGAAGGGATGCCCTAGAAAAAAAGTTTGTCGACCAAATTGGCGATATTTTGAAAATGGGCCACGTTAGAAGTACCCTTAACCGACGAGCATGTATGCGTAGATATATGGATGTAAAGGAGGCGAAAGAGGTATGTCAGGATCGTGCCAAATGGAAGTCCGTAATCTCTGCCTACCCCTCTGGGTGACAGGCGTGAGTGTTTATAAACTAATATTGTCGGTATAAATATACAAAAATAAAAAAATATTGCATATCATAATAATGCTTTCATCAGGTTGTGATATTGTTGTATCCAAATTTTCGAGAACACTTAATGCAATTGAGAAAATTAAAAAATACAGACACAGACGTTAAGGAGTTCGCAATAAGGACCAGCACGCAAATTGTGTTACGTCAGATCTTTTGTAGACGACGAATCCTCATAAATTATTGTTTAGTTAAATGCACATAGAAAAAATGCTTTCCATTTTTTCGTGTAATTCACCCACAGCTCGGCTCTGTCATAAACCTCTAAACTAGTTTCCTATACACTATATCGTAGTCTGAGCTGAGCGTTTTATGATTAATTTTTTTTTATATACTAATTTAATGTAGTTCCGTGTGGTGTTGAAGAAACTCCATCACCGTCATCCTTAATATTTTGTAGATGTCGTAAGAGAACTATATGAAAAAAGCTTGATCTTATAGTCTTCAATAAATTGCGGTATTATCATTTGTAGGTATACACGACATCTTTATTTAAACCTCCTTAGCAGCTGGACTGATTTGGATAAAAATTCGTGTTTGTGAGTGGGTCCGTGGTTGAATTATATTCATAATCGGACCCGGTAGGTGGCGTTGTTGTCAATATGGCGTTGTTGACAGACTGAGAGATACTTCTTACGAGGTGGACGTGTGTTCGATCCTTTTAAATATTTTAGTAATTTCATTACGCAAATATCGCAATCAAACCAAAAAAAACAGCGCAGTTTGTGATAGTATCCCTTGAAGTTATTCAGTGTTTTTATTAGTCACAAACAAGTGTGTTGACAGTTCGCTGACGCAACAAGCGAGCGGAGTCATCACCGCTACGATAAGAGAGGGCTTGCATAATTGCCGCCTCTATCTAATTTTAACCTACAGAGCTAGTCATTATGAAGAATTGTTCAGCGTGTACATGTGAAGTCGAAAAAGAAGATCATTTGCAATGCGCAAAATTTAGCGAAACATTTCACTTTTTATGCCTTAACATACGCCTAGAAAATATTGCAGGCTCACTACCAGACGCATTATCTAACTGGACTTGCCCTATGTGTATAAATAAACAATCGACTGGTAAGAACTCGGAATCTGTAGTTCACTCGTCATTACCTACATCGTTTGCTGAGATTTCGTTTCATAACGTGTGTAATAGGTCATTAAACATACA